CCTGCCCTGGCTCCCTGCTTGCATGGCTGTTCCTGACTTCACCCGACTCCCTGCCCTGTACCCAGCTCCAGCTACTACGGACGGCCTCCACGTTGCACCTTTGACCATATAGCAGACTTGGACCTTGCCTCTCGGTTAACCCACGGGACCAGCACAAGGACAGAGAAAAGGAAGGACTTCTTTTTGCAGCCATAGCCAAGCTATGGAACTCCCTCCCAAAGAAGGCAGGAATGGCCATTGGATCTTGCTTGTTGGTTTCTCACTGGGGAATCTTTTTGGCCACCGTGGGGCCAGGATGCTGAGCTAGATGGGACATTAGCCTCATCCAGAAGGTCTCCTTATACTCTTATGGTCCCCAAGACAGAGGCCAGAAAATGAAGGTGCAGCTGTAGCCCAGGCTGCAGACTCCCTGGGACCCTTTGAAATTCAGGACTCTGCAGATCCCCCTAGATCCCTGGTGGGGAGAGCCAGAGGCATAGGCATCAACCTGGAGATCAGAAGGCAGGTGAGGGGGCAGTGAGGCATCTCCAGAAATCGATGCAGCCAAGGAGAATCTCTCCAGCGCACGGAGAAGCGTTTTCTGGCTCCCTCGCCTTCCTCCTTTGGCTTCTCAGGACAACTAATTGCCTAATCCATAGTCCCGAGTAAGAATCAATAGGAAAATATTACCACAACTTATTTTTAATTCCCTTTTTTAAAAGGATCAGAAAAGTGCTATTGAATATGGCACTTCTAATTACGTGTCGCAAATTAACTTTCTCTCGCAGCTGAAAAGCCGCAGCTCAGCTCCCTGATTCAGTTGCCCAGAAAGTCCCCCCTCGACAGCCAGCCCCCCCCCCAGCTCCATCGGAGGAGTTCAGGTGCTGGGTGTTTGTGAGAAGAGCAAGATCGAGATCTGGAAAGCTCCCTTCTGTGTGTGGCTCCAGACGTCTCACCACCTGATTCTTCCACCTCCCACCCTTCCCTTTCAGGATCAGACTTTTACAGGGAGGGAGGGCTGGCAAATCAGAATCATGGAGTTAGAAGGGACCTCCCGGGGTCATCTAGTCTAGCCCCCTGCAGTGCAAGATCACAGCTAAACTATCCCTGACAGATGACCACCAAACCTCTGCTAAGAAACCTCCAGTGAAGGCTAAGCTGCTGCAATACTACTGTTTTGTGTTCTTTATATTTGGTTCATTTGGTTGATTTTACACATTCACCCATCAGTTCATAGCCAGCCTATCTGCTTGTTTTAAAAATCCCTTTTCATCCTTCCTGATCCAGAAAACAGTACCTTCTTTATGATTAAAATAAAACAAAATGACGTGCTATCTCTTGTCCATGCCTTATTAGTGACTCATCCTTCTTAATCCTCAGTTCATAGTTGCTCAGGTATCTTAAAAAGCAGAGACATCACCTTGCTGACAAAGGCCTGTATGTATAGTTAAAGTTGTGGTTTTCCCAGTAGTGATGCATGGAAGTGAGAGCTGGACCATAAAGAAGGCTGATCGCCGAAGAATGGATGCTTTTGAATTCTAGTGCTGGAGGAGACTCTTGAGAGTCCCATGGACTGCAAGAAGATCAAACCTCTCCATTCTGAAGGAAATCAGCCCTGAGTGCTCACTGGAAGGACAGATCCTGAAGCTGAGGCTCCAAGACTTTGGCCACCTCATGAGAAGAGAAGACTCCCTGGGAAAGACCCTGATGTTGGGAAAGATGGAGGGCACAAGGAGAAGGGGACGACAGAAGATGAGATGGTTGGATAGTGTTCTTGAAGCTACAGAATGAGTCTGACCAAACTGCAGGAGGCAGTAGAAGACAGGAGTGCCTGGCGTGCTCTGGTCCAGGGGGTCATGAAGAGGCGGACACAACTAAATGACTAAACAACAACAGGTGGGCTCCTAGCTTTGCTTTCCTCCCCCTCTCCCAGTTTTGGCCACTTCTGGTTCTACTAGTTAGGGCCATTTGGGGGCCAGGGAGAGAGAAAAATAACAACCACCCTGGTTCCAGCTGTCTGAAATTTGGCAGGGCTATTCCCCTCTTGTGCGGCTACTTAGTTTTTGTGCACCTATTTGAAATAAAAAACCCAGAAAGTTGTGGCCATTTGGGTCTCCCAGGCAATGGGAGGATCGATGTTTTAGCTTTCTGAATATTGCTTTGGATTCAGGGTCTGAGGCAAGCACCCCACTTCCAGCCCCCCCCCCCCCCGTGACCCAAAGTGAATAGGGGCTTGGTCCAGAGTGCTGAAAGGAAGCACAGGGAGACCACACAACCCTACCAGGAACTGCGAGAATCTCCCTCTTCAAGCCAACATTTTGAGATGAACGCAGCTCAACAATTCCTTCAGCTCATTCCCCTGATTTTCTATTTTTATTTTTAAGGAAGCTGTATACCCAGAAATTCCCCAGTTCCAGATGTCCTATCGACAGAACAAATATTTCTGCTTTATAATAGAGGAACCCTAAATACAGTATAATACACCCTTGTGCAAATAACTTGAAACAAACAATGTAGTTTATTGTACAAAACTTGCATATACATGTACAAAACTCACATATATGTACATTAGTAACGGATATGCTATTTTAAAGCAGCATTTAAACACAGTTTGGCATGGAGTCTACTAGTTTCAAACAGTCACTGTTGATATTCGGATCCCTGTACCACACTTGAATCAGCACCTGAAGGAGCTTCTCCGTAGTCATACAGTCTACAGCAGGGGTCAGCAAACTTACCGCATCTTGGGTAGGTGTCTCCAGCGCCGATTGCGCGGCGGGCCGGAAGGCGGGGGAGCGTGTGCCCAAACACGTGCACACACGCTATTTCTGGCGCACTTCTGGGTCGGGGGAGCACCGGAAATAGCTTGTGCGCATGTGCACGGGCCTCCTCCAACCCGGATGTGCACCAGAAATAATACTTGTGCATGCGAAAATAATGCTTGCGCATGTGAAAATAAAGCTTGCACATGCGCAAATAATGCTTGCGCATGCACACAAGCTATTTCTGGTGCTCCTCCAACCCAGAAGTGGGCAGCCGTGCAGCGCAGCACAGAGCCGGTAAGAGCGGGCGGCGGGGGTCACAGTGGGCCAGATAAACGAGTCCCACGGGCCTTATCCGGCCCCGCGGACCTTAGTTTGGGGACCCCTGGTCTACAGCACAGAGGCGACTTTTGCATATCGCCCACAAATTCTCAATGGAATTTATGTCTAGGGAATTCCCTGGCCAACCAAGTAACTGTATTTGCTGCTCTGTCATGAATTTCTTCCCCACTTTCGATGTGTGACAGGTGGCTACGTCCTGCTGCAATATCCCAGTACCATCAGAAAACCTCTTTTCCAGCTCTGGAATAAACTCTCTTTTGTAGAACCCCAACAGATTGTGGCGAGCGCATCATTCCTTCTATTGGCTGCAGGCTTCCGACACTTTACGTGTTTGTTTTGAGTACAGGATTACGAGTAAGACAGAAAACATGCATTGTTTCAATTAATTTGCACAGAGGTGTAGTAGGAGCAACCACCGCTCTGAAGAATGGCGGTATAATAATGGCAAGAGGTTTTCCCCAAAACGCCTGTGGAACGAGGCCACCCTCCGTCTTGACTTTCCAGCAGGCGCCAGGCACACACATCACAACAAAGCCCCAGGTCAGATTGTCAGAAGCGACAGGACATAAAATGGATTTCGTGCCAATTTGCACATGGATGCACCTTTTGCGTAGACGTTTTTGAAGGCTGGAGGCAGCCAGGGCAGACGTTCTCCCCCTCGTGGGCTGCCGCATCTCCTTCCTCCAGAGCACCAGCGCTTTCTGCTTCCCATGCCCACCTGCTAGCCATTGGTGGGCAGTCTTGCTTTTCATTTACATCTGCTAGTTTAGAGATTTCTGGCAGATCCGAGGGATAGAGAGGGCTCTGTCTCTTTGCCAATTCCATGAGATTTCCCAAGTCTGGGTGGGCTCCATCCATTCCAGTAAACATTATTAGTGCTTGCCATCAGCGAGATTATTATATTGGAGATTTTCGTGCAGATTTACTCATGCTAAGCTTGGCATTTAGCAAAGTTGTTTTAACTGAAGCTGCGCCTCCTCCAAAGCCAGGGCTAGAGCTGCCAATCTTTTTCTATAGGCAATTAACATCTGTTGATTCTCCCCTCTCATTTATCAAGGGTGTGTGTGCATGCATATGGATCTGCGATCTGCTTTGAAGGAGGATCAAAACCTTAACTGCACAAAGCTCATTTTTGAAATTACAATATTTGCTGTCTGCAATTGCAAAACAGCCCCCTTATGAACCAAACTCATGAGAGGCCTGAGGGAATGGTCTTCTGGGCACAACTGGGACCCATGATGGACCTCATTCAGTCTATGCTCTGGAGGCTGGGCACCCCAAGAGAAATTGGGGCCCTCTCCCTCCCCCCCAACCCTACAATTCTATGAAATCCTCCAACCTGTGTATCTGGTCATTTTTCAGTGATGAACTTACCTGTGTGAAAAGCCTATGTAAGTACAGTCCAGGAACGAGCCTGGCAGCCGTTCTGGTCTCCGATCTCAACAGCTCTATTTGGCAATAATGATGACTTTGCCAACCCTCTGAGCCATTGCTGAAACGGATGAGCAGGAGAAAGTACATGTGCGCTCGCTTGATTTATGAACTGCCTCATTCACAACGGCAAGATAGACTCCCAGGGAGGCAACCACTTTGCAGAAGCAAAATATCATCCCGGGCGGAAGGGGAGGGGTTCAAATGCAAACCATGAAAGGCCACGCACTTTGACAAGAGACACTTGTGCAGGAGAAACTACTTAGGGCAACAGAGATCATAGAATCAGAGCTGGAAGAGACCCTGGGGGTCATCTAGTCCAACCCCCTGCAAGGCAGGAATCTTTAATGTTTTGATGTTTTAATGTATTTTTAATCTCCTGTTGGAAGCCACCCAGAGTGGCTGGGGAGGATCTAGCCAGATGGGCGGGGTATAAGTAATAAATTATTATTATTATTATTATTATTATTATTATTATTATTATTATGCCTAAGGTGGGGCTTCAACCCACAACCCTGAGATTAGAAGTCTCATGCTCTCCCAATTGAACAGGTAGGTTCCTATGGGGAGAGGCAGTCCCTGAGGTATTGCGGTCCTGAGCCATTTAAGGCTTTATACTGTAGGATGCGGGTGGCGCTGTGGTTTAAACCAATAAGAAGATCAGCGGTTTGAATCCCCATGACGGGGTGAGCTCCCGTTGCTCGGTCCCTGATCCTGCCAACCTAGCAATTCAAAAGCACATCAAGTGCAAGTAGATAAATAGGTACCGCTCCGGCAGGAAGGTAAACGGTGTTTCCATGCGCTGCTCTGGTTTTCAGAAGCGGCTTAGTCATTCTGGCCACATGACCCGGAAGCTGTACACCGGCTCCCTCGGCCAGTAAAGCGAGATGAGTGCCGCAACCCCAGAGTCGGCCGCGACTGGAGACCTAATGGTCAGGGGTCCCTTTACTGTAGGTCAAAACCAGCACTTTAAATTGGGCCCGGAAATCTCCATGCATGGCCTTTTAGAAGTGGGCAGGGTGTTTTTGACGTATTTCTCTTTCTTCTTGGTTTTGAAGTATCTCTGTGGGGTTTATTTTCTGTTTGTTTGGTTGTAAGTCACTTTGGGTAGCTCTGAGGAAGACAAAGTGACTCATAAATTTAATAACCCAAAGGTTGGCTGGGTCTGTGGCTTCTCTGGTCCCTTGAGCACTGCCTGCCTGCAAGACGACTGTCTTCCTTTGACCTCCATCAGCGAGCGATTGCTGGCTGCTTCTGTCCTCCACTCACCAAGGATGAGCAGCGAAGAAGATGCAGGGGGGAAGCCACTTAGCAATTTCACTATCACCTCCAGACTGAATCGGCAGCTCCTCCATGCAAATGTGCACCAAATTAACATTCCCATTTAAAGAGGGAGTTTAGTCCTTTTATTAATCATGTAAGTGCTGTCTCGGGTCACTTCCATTAGCCAAATGAGCCACCGTGCCATGTGCTTCTCGCTGGGCTCCCCTCTTTGTATTGATAATGTCCTCTGATGAATTGCATATGTGCCATTTGACACTGACAAACGAGGCCATTTGATCAAGTGAAAGTATCGAGCAACAGCAGGCAGAGGCCTTTATGGAAAGTTAAGGAAGTGCTATTAAGTCTTCAAGGCATCTCATTGTCAGTACATTTCTGTGTGTGTCCCCCCCTCACCTGGCAGACGGAGGCTGCCTTGACACAGGAGGAGGGAGAAGCAGCAAGGACCCTCCCAGGAACCCTCTGCCTTCATCTCATTCCTCTTCTGTTCCTGAAGACCAGTGGGTCCCACACTGAGCGGAACCACACCCTGGGGGTGGGAGGGATAATCTTTGGGGGCACTCAAAGGCAAGGAGGCGACCTACCGACTTTGAAAACCTAGTTTCGCTGGATCAAGTCCATCCCTTTGGTTGAATTTATTCACCTAATTAGTTCTAATTTTGAATAATAATAATAATTGTGCAATTAGTTGGGTACTGTTTTGAGTTTTGCTGTGTTATTATCTTCCTTAGTGTGTCTTGAAAACCACTGTACTGAATAATGCTTTTAGGGGGTACTGGGGATGAGTTTGTGGATCTTTATGCCCCAAAAGCTTTGGGGACCAGTCAGAGAGCTAGCACACCCACACTCACACCCTGGGACCTAGAGATGCTGGGGCTCAGCTCAGAGCCTTCTGCTTACCAAAAAGCGATCTCTGCCTCAGAGCTCCCAGCCCTTCTGGCTGTTAGGATGCTGATGTTCTGTTCCACCTAAACAGATGTGTGGAGCTGTTGTATGTCACATGTCTGTTTACATTCCAGCACAGCTTGCTGGGAACTTCCGTTTGTGTGGAGCTTTTGCCGTATGCTTCCTGCTCTAAGACATGAAGGAGAGCAGACATGTTTTCTTTGTCCAGATCTATGCTGAATAAACTACTTGTAAATATGCTTTACATATGCCTCTGTCCACCCTTTGACCGTGAAGAGTTTATCTCTGCTGGCTTGCGTGCTCAGCTTCTGAAAGGCTTCTGAAGTTTTGATGCTTTTCCAAGGACTGGAGTTCGCCCAGCTGCCGGCCGGTGGACTGGAGCCAGCTGGGGGCCTGCCAATTGCCCCCGTTTCCCTGGACGCATCCCAACATTGGTCTCTCCCACTTCCCTTCCAGTAGCAACTGCAGTCAGATCCTTAGAGAGGTTGGCGTCATTGGCCTGGACTGGGACAGATGTCTTCTCTTAGAAGCCTGGTCAGTCATTGGCAGCACCAAGAATGGAAAGGGATTGGCAGTGCTGATGAAGGATGTTCTCCTGTCTCCTGAGCTCTGCCTGCAAAGGGAACTTCACAGCCTCTGGTGGTCACCCATTCATCACCAGTCCTGGTCTCGCTACCAAGAGTCCCGACTCCTTTACTCATCTGGAAATGTGATCTCTCTCTCACTCATGTACATTGACTAAGCTCAAGCAGCGCTGTATGAGCATGAGAAGGGTCTGCTGGATCAGGCCAATGGCCCGTCCGGTTCAGCATCCTGTTCTCACAGTGGCCAAACAGATGCCTCGATGGGATACCTGCAAGCAGGATCCGAGCCCAAGAGCAAACTCCCCTCCCATGGTTTCCAGCAAGAGAGGTTTCCCCCAGCAAAAAGCAGAGGGAGAAGAGGAGCTCTGGATGAGCCCCTTGTCTGCTTAAGGGATAATGCATTGAGAGCTGACTTTGTCCTGAGCATGATTAGCTCACCTTCCCTAAATGGGTGGGTGACCAGCACCAGGATGCCTGGCCTTTGCAGGCACAGCATTTTTCTGGACGTCCAGCTCCCCATTTCTCTGCAGGAGACCTGTGGGCACCAGATCCAGCAGCTCCCCTGCTCTACAAACAACCGTCGCCTGGAACCCTGGACTGCTGATCGGGCTGAGAGAATCTCTCTGGGTTGGTGTCATGGGCATAGACAGGATTTTTGTTGGGGGGGGGGGCAGAACCTCAGTTTGTGATGATGTATTTTTATTGATTGGGGAGCAGCTGCCCCTCCCTGCCCCCCTGGCTATGTCCATGGCTGGTGTCTTTCATTTCCTCAATCTTAAATCAAGTCCTGCCCATTTCCACATCAGCTTGTGAAAAGGAAAAAGAAATGACTCTCGATTGCATTTCTCCTCCTCCGAAAACAACATGTTGTAGTGCATTGTTTTTGCCTAACAGACACATTTTTTGCAGAGTAATTTCCCCAAATAGAATGGATTCTTGTGAAATAAGTAGGTAGGTAAGTACAATTTAGGGACACGGGTGGTGCTGTGGGTTAAACCACAGAGCCTAGGACTTGCCGATCAGAAGGTTGGTGGTTCGATTCCCCGCTCCCGTTGCTCAGTCCCTGCTCCTGCCAACCTAGCAGTTCGAAAGCACGTCAAAGTGCAAGTAGATAAATAGGTACCACTCCGGCGTTTCCGTGCGCTGCTCTGGTTCGCCAGAAGCGGCTTAGGCATGCTGGCCACATGACCCAAAAGCTGTATGCCGGCTCCCTCGGCCAATAAAGAGAGAAGAGCGCCGCAACCCCAGAGTTGGCCATGACTGGACCTAATGGTCAGGGGTCCCTTTACCTTTAAGTACAATTTATGTGCACACTTTGCATATGTCTCTTTATCCACACGACTTGGCTGGGGAGCTGAATTGCAAGATTCAAATAAGTGCCAATTTCAAAGGAAGTCTGAGTTTTGAATCATGCATGCTGGAATCCCCTTCACCGGAGGCTCTCAAGCAGAGCTTGGAGGGTCATCTGTCACAGGAGTCTTTCTCTATGATTCCTGCATCTCAGGGGGTTGGACTAGATGACCCCTGGGAGTCCCACCCACTTCTATGGTTCTGTGTTAGTTCAGCACACAGAACATGATTCTGAAGCAGAGGGAATGATTATTTACAGTCCCGCACCCTGAAGCATTTCGACCTTGCCAACCTCTGTGCAGTACGGCGTTCTCGAAGCGCAGAGCCCCTTTGCCTTTGCATCTGCTTGGACTGGGCCACCTCCTTAATGTAGGCCTGCTTGAATTATTCATCCTTTTCCGTGCAGCCCAAGCGCTTTCCTTCGGCTGCAGGCTTTCCCCTGGAGCGCTTCCAGCTCTGCCGTGAGCCCAGAGGCGGACGACGCATGATGGAGATTTGCCTCTCTGGCCCCTCTTCACCCAGCGCTTGGCCGAGGCCTCGTCTTCCTCCTGCCTTGCCAGATATATAAATGTCAGGAGTTCAGCTGGTCGTGACCTGTGCGCAGGGAGATAGTGGGCTGCATTTCAACGCTGCAGGGCTTCCGGGAAGATTAATTTCTAACAGCCAGGATGCTTTGCTTGCATTTTCAGACCGGCTGGGCAAAGCAGCCTCTTGGATTCAAGGGGCTTTTTCCTGGACCTCCAAGTCTTGGCCTTTAATCAGTCCAGCAAGATTTACTGCAGGAGCTGAGCCAATTCAGACAGTTCATTGCCCAGAGATGTCTTGGGTTTTGAAATAATGCTTGTCTTACCTTTTCGTGTCCTCGACATTTAGGTACAGCCACCCCACCCCCTACCTTTCCTTCCTAAGCCCTCTTTGGTCCCGAAGAGGGCAGCAAAGGAGTCAAGGAGCGTTCAAGAATTTCAGCTGGGTAGCCAGGTCCCTTCCACCCTGATAAAGTCACTGGCAGCTTGAGGCAAAACTCTCTCTTCGAATTGTAGCCTTGGAAGGGGCTCCAAAAGGATCATCAAGTCCAACCCTCCGCAATGCAGGAGGCTCAGCTAAAGAATCCCAGCCAGCCTCTGCTTAAAAATCTCCAAGGAAGGAGAGTCCGCCACCTCCCAAGGGAGACCGTTCCACCGTCAGATGGCTCTTCCCACGAGAAAGTTCTTCCTGATGTTAAGCTGAAATATCCTTTCTTGTAACTTGAAGCCGTTGGTTTGAGTCCTCCCCTCCAGAGCAGGAGAAAATGAGCTCACTCCCTCTTCCATGGGACAGCCCTTCAGATATTGGAAGATGGCTCTCATATCGCCTCTCGGTCTCCTCTTTCCCAGGCTAAACATAGTCAGCTCCTTCAACCGTTCTTCATAAGGCTTAGTTTCCAGACCCTGGAT